TGGGGGGAAGCCCCTCAGCAGGTGAATTGTTGACCGGGAGGAGGTCCCTCAGCAGGCAGATTACCAACTGGGGTGAGTCCCCCAGTGGCCAATCACCAACCTCAGAAGTGCCAGCGGCAAAACCGGAAGTGCCACTGGTGCTTCTCTCAGCACCCCCCCACTCCCCAGCGCCAATCTCAGGGGGGGACACTGGCCAGCACTTCTCCCAGTGCCCCCACTCCCCAGCCAGCAAGGACCAATCTCAGGGGGGGGCCATGCCCCACCCATGACACCCTTGCACATTGCCTATGCTCTAGTGACCCCCGGCTTCTGGCTTGAGGCACTGCAGGCATGTGCCTGCATTTCCTGGTTTAGCAGAGCATGCCTGTACAGGTATTAATCAATTTAAGCTGCACAGCTCAGACTAACCTGCATAGAGTGAATCAGTTCTGGCTCAAGCTTTTTGAATGTCTGTCCCTAGCCCTAAGGAGAGAGTAAAGGGGAGACTCCAGGAGACAACTGACATGAGAAGGTCACACAATGAGACAAGCATGAGGTGACCTGATGGGAAAGGCCATACATGGTGGATCCAAGAGGAGATGTATTCTGAAATCATTGTGAACCAAGTAGTCTGAGAGAGCTCAGCTTCATGCAGCATTGAGTAGCATGGCATATGTATTCAGTACCTTTGCACAGCCCAAGCACTGGCTCCAACTGACTTCTACATGAATATGTTAGAAGTGCAGTTCCTCACAGCAGGGCATGCTGTAGGGATCCCAGGGGGAGTGTTAGGGCTACAACAGCAACCTTCCAGGCTGGAGCTGCTGCACCACTGCCCCTCAGGAATGACCTGAGGCTGTGTTCACTGCACAAGGGGCTGGCGGCAACCCCTCAGACCCAGCACCACCTTCTCCAGATGCCATGGCACCTCCTCAGGTCAAGGCAGCTATGCACTCAGCCTACAGAGATGTTGTGTTTGTTAAGTGGTTTGGTAAGTAAAGTATTTTCTACCCAAATCAGTATTTGCCCCAATGTGGGAACTGATGTGCAATTTGAGCCACGTGACGTTGGCTTGTTTGGTAACTGGAAAACTGGCTGACATACCCTGTGGTTGCCTAATCCTGTGATCCCAGGAATAGAGGGGAGAGTGCTGCTTTCCCAAGGGACCTTCGTCTGGAGGATCTTCAAGTTCTTCCAGCAAACCTCCGGCAGGAACAGCATTTGACAGCACAGATGAGGACAGAGAGGAGGGTTGAGAGGGAAGCTTTGGAAGCTGACACTCTGCCAGCTGAACTTGGAGCACCTCTGCCCTCAAAGCTCCCCTATGGCCAGACAGCCCCTGCCCATGCTGCAGATTAAGTAGAGGCCAGTAGAAGGCTTTTTGTCTTCTAGAGAACTGGGGGTCATTCTTTTTGTCAGGTGTACTACAAATTATCCCTGGAGTCTCAGGCACCCCCAGGACAGTTCAAAAGTTTACCATCGCTGGAACCTTCTGCCCTTCTGACACCCTCCCAGAGTGCCACTTCCATCCTCACTGTGCATATGCAAACACTAGCCAAGGAACAGAACGTCCCAACTTGTGGCCAACAGGAGATACCCATGATTCTGTTGGACTAGAAGATACTCAAGTTAAAGTGTGTTTGCCTGGATGTGGGAGTTTAAGACTAGGTGGTAGAATACTATTGCACTATACCACTAGGTGGTAAAATACTATTGCAGTATTCTGTGCCTATCTTTAAGAATTTGTAAGAATTTAATTTAATCTTTAAGATAAGTGCCAGTTACTTTGAATCTTTTCATTTTGGAAAGCTTGTTTCTTAGGGTTACCATATTTCCAGTTCCAAAAAAGAGGACACCTGTTGCACAGGGTAAGGGGTGGCATATGATTGTGGGGGGCAGTGATATGTCAGTGCCCTGTCCCTGCCCATTGCGTTGCCCCTCACTCCCAAGCCACAGCCCACGCAGCCCTGCTGCTGCCCCCTCACTCCTGACCCACAGACCGCTGGCCCTGCCAGTGCCCTCATTCCCAACCCGCAGTACCCTGCTCCCCGGGCCATGCTTGTGCCCCTCACTCCCAACCCACAGCCTCCTGGTGCTGCCAGTGCCCCACACTCCCAACCTATAGTCCCCTACCCCCTTGTGCCCCTCACTCTCAAGCCACAGCACTCCAGCCCTGCTGGTGCACCTCACTTCCAACCTGCAGCCCCCTGTTCCCCCCATCCCTGCAAGCACAGGCACCAGCCCCAATGCTGCTGACCTGGCCATGTAGCTCCCTGCTGCCCCCAAAGGGCACCCCCACCTTCCCCTGCTGACAGGGGAGGCACATCCCCTCCCTCCCCCTGCCTCCCCTGCCCTGCCACAGCCCTGGCACCCGGACTGCTCCCACCACCCTGCCTGGCTGCATACAGGCCACATGCATGTGCACCCTGCCTCCAATTGTCCTCCCCCACCCCGCTCCCTCCAGCCCCAAGCAGCTCCTTGCTAGGGCAAGCCAGGAAAAACTTCAAAGCTGAGCCGACCAAAATCATGGACATGTGATCATATTTAAAAAAAAAACCCTGCCTAGATGGAGATTGAAGGATCCAAAAGGAGGACATGTCTGGGAAAACCTGGACATATGGTAACCCTATTGTTTCTTAACCCATGTTCTTTCTTGTTTATACATGTGATAGTGTGTGCTCCAGGCCATACATGAACTATGTCAGTGGTTCTCAGTGTTTTTAGACTCAAGGCACACCTTGTTAGGCTTAAGGCACCCATTCATAGATTCAAGGCACTCCTCCAAAACTGCCAGCTCCGTTTTCACTCATTTTTTGACTATAGAAAAATAATAGGGCAATGTTTCTGTTGCAAAGAGTTCAGAAAGACCACAACAGGTCAGAATGTTTTTAACATCATGACTCCCTGTTTGAAATCTCTGGGTTGGTGAATCATGTTTGCATGCCTAACCATGCCAACATTGTGAGGTACCCAGGAGCACCCATAAAAAGAGTGCAAGGCAGACTGGTTGAGAATCACTGAAATAAATAATGCCATAAACCGTTGGATGGATTATACCATAATTCTCATTTACTACTGAAAAATCTTCAGTGCCTTCATCTGTAGTTGAAGGGAGAATCTTAAATAAAGTGACATTTAGGAAACAAGCAGGCATACAGCAAGGGGAGGATTTTCATGACATGCATTTCATAGCAACTTTCCTGTGTGGAAGTAAATTTAACCAGGCTTCTTCCTTGACTAAGAGGAAAGACAAAGAGAAAGAGAAGAGAAGATGCTGATGCTATGTGTTTCAAAATGTTGTAAGATAAAGAAAAACCTTCATGCCTTGTTTTGTCTGTGTGCAGATGTTAACCTTCTCCTTTCCGCCAAACTAGAAGCTGATAACTGTTCCCAAAACATAGTGTTTTTTTTAAATAAGTAAACTGCTTACGTGTGACAAACAAATGATCAACATCTTTCTGTTTCTCTCAAAGTTGCTTTGTCTGAACCCTGCATTTTTTTTCGCTGTCTAAAGTATAAATATGCTTGTAAACTTGTAGAAGTCAGAGTTCCTTTAAGAGCTCTCTCTGTGATCACTTGTATAGTTTTAAATAAACCTAAATGGCTCTGCCAATTCTAATACAACCACAACGCAAAGTTTAATTTCTTCCACACCTGTTAAGAAAGCTAGTGTTTTGTCTGGGTCATTGCATGGTCTTCTGTTTCTTCAACCATGAATTGTATGTAGGACCAGGCAGATTCACAGCTTGAAGCTGGGAAAGGGGTGGGGAGGGTGGAATTATGGCAGAGGCTTAGCCCTCTCCTTCATGCACAAAGCAGTCAGGATAGAGAGCCACATTTAACTCTTGAGGGGTCAGTTTTTGACAAGGATTTGGCTCTAAAATAGCAAGAGGAGCCCTGATAGAACCATGGCACTGACTGTCTTGTCACTGGAGAGCACCCTGGGGAGGTGCCACCCATGGCCTGGAGGATGAAGAACATCCCTGCCCTGAGCAGCCTCCTGTGCCATGGGGGAGTCATGGGGCTGGCCCCTGGGGAGCTAGAAGGCCCAGACGCACTGTTGCCAAGCCTCTTTATAATAAGCAGAATTGGGTTTGTGTTTTTTTAAAAGTCGCTCATATTTTTTGAGAGTCACGTATTGCAGTTTTTTGGGCTTGTTTTATTTGGAGTTTGCTTATTTTGCATGTGGCTGGGTCCAGTTTCCATGGAAACCCCAGCAACAGCCACATTGATAGTGCAGGGCCGGGGTTTTTGTGGAGACTGGCTCCAGCAGCGCTGGCAGGGAGCACGGCAGGGCAGGGAGCTCCTCTGGGGTCAGGCTGAGATTGTGGCAGCAACCGCGTGGTCCGGAACTGGGGCAGAGCCGCGATCTGCGGCTCACATGCTCCGGGCAGGGGCGTGCAGGCGGCTGTCACCGCTGCAAGGAGCTGGGGCAGGGCCAATATCTGCATCCTGCACATCCCAGTTACGAAGACTGGGGATTTGCTACAAGGATTTTGTCCCAAGCTGGGATATGCTCCAACAGTTCAACATATATCTGATGGCAACAGAGACTGTGGATGGCCTTTTTTTAATAATGTAAGTACATATGCATTTATTTAAATATTATATGCAGCAAAACTAGAGCTGCTAAAAAAATATGGAGTTTGTATATGGAGGTCTTCCCTACTCCCCTGTCTTTAAAATGGGTTGGTGTAGGCTGCTATGGGCAGAGCCTGGGCAGATCACAGCAGGGTATGTTTAGTCAAGCTAGTTGAGCTGACCAGTTTTACTTTTGCTCCTGTCTTTGGCCAAGGACCCACAGTTCAGGGCCCTTGCCTCTACTGCAGCTGGGCTAGTGGATAATACCCGAAGGTAAATGATCAAGCAAGCAAGCAAACAAACACAGAACAGCCCTGCTCAGGGCTCTCCTCGTGGCTGTTTAACCCCCTGGCAACTCCAGGCAGCCTGCTTCCTGGGCCAGGTGCAGCCCCTTGAGGCTGCTTTCAGTGTCTTTTATCCTTCCCACTTGGGGCTCACAGTGGCTAATCCTCTCTCACTCCCCACACCTGTGTCAGCTCCCTTGCGGTGGGACTCACTACCTCCCAGGATGTAGTTCCCCAGCCTCAGGTGAGTTTTCCCAGGTCTGGGATGGGTGTGCAGAGGTGCTTCTGGGGTGTGGGGCTGTTCAGACTCCCCCAAACCCTGTTACAGTCAGCCTTGTTTTTAAACGCAGCGCTGCATTTTTTTCTTGTGAGACTTGGCAACACTGTCTCACAAGATCTGCAAAGACTGTCTACACTGCTCCCAGTGCTGCCCTGCCACGGACCCAGCGCCATGGGTGGCTGGAGCTGTCGTGGCCACTACGTGCAGGAGTTGTGGTTACACTAGGCCGTAGTTATGCTAAGCTATAGTCAAGCTGAGACCAAGCAAAGGACCTTGGGAGCATAACAGGTGTCACCGAGGGCTGGATGACCTGCTTAAGATACAAGGAGTGAAAATGCAAAGTTAGAAACAACAGTTGAGGAATAAAAACGTAGCAGTTGCTGAAGCGGAGAACAAGGGGCGGGGTGAGCGGAGCGGAACATGCCCGGGAAGCCGGGACCGGGCAGGAGGAAGCGGCGAGTTGCGGTTGGCAGGAAGGCGCGGCAGGCCTTGGCCCGGAGGGCCGTCAGGACAGCGCGAGGCGGGTGCTAGGGGCCGGGCCGGGCAGAGCCGCTG